GTGCCATTGCACTCCAGTCTGGGTAACAAGAGCGAAACTCCGTCTCAAAAAAACAAAAACAAAAACAAAACAAAACAAAACAAAACCAGGCCTGTCTGTCTGCCGCAGAAGTTGTAAACGTAGGAAAAACAGGGGCCTTACTGAGTCCTCCTTCCCCACCTCCTCTCCAGCAGGGAAACACGTGGAAATGAGGAGCTAGCAGGACTCCACAATGCTTTCTTGTCTCTGCCTGCTTCCTTGCAGGAATAACTGAACTCCATGGCCTTGAACCAGTTTCCTGCCTTTTAGAGGGCACAGCTTCCTTACCTGTAAACTGGATATACTAGAAATAATTCCTATTTTACAGGGCTGTCGGGAGGATGAAAAGAGATGACAGGTGCAAACGGAGCGCCTGACACATAGGAAGCGCTCAGCAAGCATAGGCTCTTTGGAAAGCAGCACCCAACCCAGGGTTAGCCAAGCCAGGTGTTCCTGCCTCAGAGCACACCCAGGAAAAGACCAAGCATGGAGGCACCTTCGGCCTTTCTTCCAGCCCTCTGAGCAGGCCCTCTGATGGCCTCTCTGGTATGATGAATCCTCTCCGTCCCCCGGCCTTTACCTTTGTGGAAGGAAGGTTCATGGTGTCTGGCGCTCAGGGTGGGGTAGCCAGGAACGGAGGTGTCCGCGGTGGTTCAAATAGCCGGGAACCTTGAGGCAGTCAATTGTGACCCACTCCCTGGGGTCTGGGGTTTATAGTGCTCTGAGGTGGCAGGGGGAAGAGACAGGCACTTGCGTCCACACCCAGGCCAGACAAAGGCAAGTCTAAGATTAGCCTCCTGCAGGGGGGCCGTCTCCAGGCTGGGCCCAAGGAATGGCCGCTGCGGCATTTGGAGACCAGGGTTGGATCACTGTGGCCCCAGTCACCCCCTTGTCTGTCTGCCTGCTCCCTGGAGATGGGGCGGTCTCCAGGCACTAATGAGGCCACCTTGCACCCAGGAATCTGGGAGCACAAAAGAGGCGCTGGCCTGGGACAATGTGGGGGGAAGGCAGCTGCTAATTAGGGCGAGAGAAGAGGCCATTGCGAGACCCCACATTATGCGTGTCGGGGGTGGAGCAGCCAGCAACAGCCCTCTCCCTCCCCTGCTTGTTGTCACTGCCCTTGGGGACTGTCAGGCTCCAGGGCCTTCTTCCTTCATGAAAATGTTCCTTAGCTGCCCCCCTCCTGCTAGCTTTCTTCTGCCCTTCTGCCCCTTCCACTAGCCTCTGAGATGGAGAACTTTGAAAACCCAGCCTAGGCAGTGGAAGGTTAGGAAGCCAAAACCAAGCCCGGTTTAGTTTCTCTTTCTTTTTTTTTGGTGTGTGTGTGTGTGTGTGTGTGTGTGTGTGTGTGTGTGTCTAAGTTTTGCTCTTGTTGCTCAGGCTGGAGTGCAATGATATGATCATCTCAGCTCACTGCAATCTCCGTCTTAGGTTCAAGTGATTCTCCTGCCTCAGCATTCTAGTAGCTAGAATTACAGGCACGCGCCACCATGACCAGCTAACTTTTGTATTTTTAATAGAGACGGGGTTTCACCATGTTGGCCAGGCTGGTCTCAAACTCCTGACCTCAAGTGATCCATCCACCTCAGTCTCCCAAAGTGTTGGGATTACAGGTGTGAGCCACCACACCCAGCCTCTTTTTTCCCTTCCCTCCCTCTCTCCCTCCCTTCCTTCCTTCCTTCCTTCTTGCATTTCTTCTTTCTCTCTCTCACTCTCTCCTTTTCTCTCGTTATTTTCTTTCTTGACAGGGCTACACTCTGTCGCTCAGCCTGCAGTGCAGTGGGACAATCATAGCTCACTGCAGCATTCATTACCGGGGCTCAAGCAAAGCTCCCACCTCAGCCACCCAAGTACCTGGGACCACAGATGTGTTGCCACCATGCCTGGCTAATTTTTATATTTGTTTGTAGAGACTGGGTCTCCCAGACTGGTCTCAAACCCCTGGCTCAAGCCACCCTCTCCCTTCGGCCTCCCAAAGTGCTGGGATTATAGGTGTGAGCTACTGTGCCTAACCAAACTCAGTTTCTACCAGAAACTGGTAGAAGCTGCTTCTACCTCCCCAGCTTTTTCCCTGGCTCAGGCTGCCTGGAGGGGAGGGATGTGGTCCCACTCCACCATCAACAGGGACTGAGCTACCCTGCAGGACAGACACATGGCATCTCCAGGCCTGGTCATCTCTTATTCACAACCTCTTCTTCTTCTTTTTTTTTTTTTGAGACAGAGTTTTGCTCCTTTTCCCCAAGCTGGAGTGCAATGGTGCCATCTCGGCTCACTGCAACCTCTGCCTCCCGGGTTCAAGCAATTTTCCTGCCTCAGCCTCCCAAGTAGTTGGAATTACAGGTGAGAGCCACCATGCCCAGCTAGGTTTTTGTATTTTGTATTTTTTTTAAAGATGGGGTTTCACCATGATGGCCAGGCTGGTCTTGAACTCCTGACCTCAGGTGATCCACCCACCTAGCCTCCCAAAGTGCTGGGATAACAGGCCTGAGCCACCGTGCCTGGTCTACAACCTCTTTATTGAGCTCCTGCTGTGTGCCACACCAGGCACTGGGCATGGGAGCAGCTGTGCACAGGACCTGGCCCAGTCTCCAAGGAGCTTATAAGTGCAGGTGGGAGGCAGTTCAGGCATAATGATGGTTCAGTGAGGGAGAGGACTGCTGCCCACACCGGCAAAGTTGAGCCAGTCACTCTGCCTGGAGTGGGCCTGGTAGGGGTCCTCAAAGACGCTGCGTGAAAACTAGGGTTATATCAGGGGCAGTAGGAAGGAGGGCATTCCGTAGAGGGGACAACTTGAGCAAATGCCTGGAGTTAATGCTTAGCAACCTAAGGGTTAGAGGTGAGGTGTGGTCTTTATTCCAGGACTTCTTTCAAGCAAGGGGAGAGAGGTAGCTGGACAAGTAGGTGGGGGCCAAGGTCAAAGGGTCTTATAGGCCAAGCTGATTGATCTTAATCCTATGGGTGATGGAAGCCACTATAGGAGGATTTTTTTTTTTCCCGGGATGGTCTCGCTGTGTTGCCCAGGCTGGTCTTGAACTCCTGGGCGTGAACCATCCTTCTACCTCAGCCTCTTGCCACTACAGGCCCATGCCACTGTGCCCAGCTTCAGGGGAGGATTTTTGTTCGTTGTTAAGACAGTGTCTCAGTCTGTCACCCAGGCTGGAGTGCAGTGGCGCCATCTCATCTGATCGCAACCTCCTCCTCCCTAGTTCAAGTGATTCTCTGCATCAGGCTTCCGAGTAGCTGGGATTACAGGCGTGTGCCACCAGGCCTGACTAATTTTTGTATTTTTAGTAGAAACGATTTTCACCATCTTGGCCAGGCTGGTCTTGAACTCTTGATCTCGTGATCCACCTGCCTCAGCCTCCCAAAGTGCTGGGATTACAGGCGTGAGCCACTGCACCTGGCTGGCCCATGGGAGGATTTTAGGACAGAGTGACAGGCTGAGGCGGGGTCTGGGAGGCTTGCAGCAAGAGCCTGGATATGGGGACATGGAATGGAGAAGCCATTCAGAGGCATCTGGAACCAGTGCGGCCTCTACTCAGGAGGAGCTGGAGGGTCTTGGTCTGCCCCTTCCCGCAGCCTCCCAGATGGAAAATCTTAAAAACTCAGCCCAGGCAGGGGGAGGGAGGGAAGACAAAATCAAGCCCAGTTTCTTTCTTTCTTTTATTTTAGCCTCTACAAACCTGTGGAGGCTGCGTTTCCTCATTGGTATAGAACAGTTAACCCAGATGGTCTCCGGGGCTGCTTCCTGCTTCAATGCCTTACGGTGTGAAGCAATCGGTCTCTTGTTCCCGCCGCAGAAGTGGCTTGTGGGTGCTGGCCTAGGAGGTGCTCGCTGTCCCCAAAGGCTCCTATGTGCACGCGCAGTCAGGGCCTAGCCAGGCCCAGACCAGACCTGGAGCCAGGGTCCACTCCCCAGTTTCCCCAAAGCAGACCCTGAGGCAAGAATCTGGCTGCGAGAGGTTTATTTGGGAGCATCCCAGGAAGCCCAAGGAGGGAGTAGGGAAGGGAGGCAGGTGAGGAGCCCCGCAGGAAGTACATGAATGAGTGGGTTAATGCTTCGGGCGGCGGGGACTCCATCCTGCTGGGCATCCTCCGAGAGTTTATGTAGAATACGCTTCAGAATTGTCCCTCTCAAGGACAATGAAGCTGAGGTCCTGCTCCTTATTGACTCAGGGTTGCTCCTGGGGACATTAACCCCCCAACAATTCCAGCCTGCCCAGTGCACGGACTGAGCACATGGCTGTGGCCGCCAGAGAAGCCCGTCGGGCTGTGACACAGGAAACTATCGGCATCCATGGGAGCTCTGGCAGTGTCTGCCATGCCAGGACCCAGGGACACGGGCATGCGCTGCTGGTGTCTGCTAACCCTGGAGGCCCATGCCTCAGAATTGGTCAGCTGGGCCAAGGCGTCCCTAAGGCCCAGCGGCTCTCATGGGCAAATGTCAGGTGACACAGAGTCAAAGACCCCGGCCAAGGACTCCCCATCCAGAGAGGTCTCAGAGAGAGGAGCTGGCCGGTAGGGCAGGCGTTGACTCAGGACACCACCCTCTGCTGCAGACACTGGGCCAGGTGCCTGTGCCGAAGGACCCGAGGCATCGCAGGGGGGAATGGGGAGGAGGGGCAGGCAGCAAGGGCTGCCCGGAGTGCTCGGAAGGCCCCCTGCCCCACCAGGTGGACTCTAGCAGGACCCACGCTGCCCCAGAACCGCAGGGACTTGTAGCGGGGAGAAGCTTCCTGAAGGCAGTGGTCCAGCTGGGAACAGAACGGCTTGAGTGAGCTAGTGTGTGATCGTGAGTGCGCACACAAGGCGTGCGTGGCTGTGCCCAGGCTACACGTTTAGAAGTTCTGGGTGGACAGGTGTGTGTCTGTGGGAGTCATCCCTCTCCTCCCAGAACCTCAGGGAGCTTCTTCTCCCCCGCCCCTCCCCTCCCCATCAAGCCTGATCTCCATGGCACCCCGGGAGTGTGACAGTGAAGGGGCCTACAGGCAGACCCTGGCCTCGTCTCCTTTACCTTGTCTCGATTTTCCTCCGACAGATTCCTCAGCCCCCTCAGCTCCACAAACACCTCGTAGTGGGGAGCAGAGCCCACAGCAGAATCTGTGAACAGACCCCACGTGCAAACATACTTCTAGTGAACGGGCAGCTGCCAAGTCCAGTGCCCTCTGCCACCACCTGTTCTTCCCCACTCAGGTTCACAGGGAAAAAAGAGTTTCTTGTTGGGGAGTGGGGTAGATAGAGAGGAACATAGAGCTTGATCCTAAATAGGAGACAGAGCAGGAAAGAAAATGGGTAGAAACTGCAGCAGGATGGTTGAGAGTTAGATACAGGGAAGCACTTTTGTAGGAGTGGCAAAGGAAGCGGACTCTTACCTCTTTCCTAGCAGGGGAAGTGGGGGAATGGCTGGGCTGGGGTCCACTCCCATGCAGAATTACCCATTTCTTCCCCCACACTTTGCTGCATACAGGAAAACCAGGGAAAAATGAAGTTTGGGAAGAAGGCAGGCCCCACTGGGACAGGTGATGCAGAGGAGAGACTATCAAAGCTTTGGAGTTGAAGGGTAGCCAGCCCAAGAATGGTAGGCAGGAGCCGGCAGGGAAGCTCACCCAGAATGCTGCTCTCCACACAGCCATGGTCCAGCAGCTTGGCCCCTGGCCACTGCCCCACTGCCTGGCCCAGGGCCTCAGAGAACAGGTCCTCACCAATATCTTCCCCTCGCACACTCAGGGTCTGGCTCA